TACAAGATGTCGGTTCCTTTTGTCTCTTCTTGCTGTTCCTCTGTGTTCTTAGTTATGTCTCTTACCAGCGGCTTTGGCATCAGGTAGTCGAGAGCTGCTATTTCCTTGTACCTGGGTGTTAGTCCTTTGGTCAATTCGCTTACATGTCGTTGTATAGAGGTGGCAGTCACCCCGCTAGTGTTACTAAATACTTTAGCGAGTAGTTGTGTGGCGACGTCGGTTAGGGTAGATCTCTGGGCCGGTGTGAAAGGGATTTCCCTCCATAGGTAGACTAGGTGTGGTAGTATAATCGCGCATGCTCCCCGTATCTTGACTGCGACATTAATCATAGAGGGCGGGATGTTCTTGACCGTTTCGGTGTAGTCTTTAGCGGCTTTCTTGGCCTTTTCGATCCTTGCTTCTACCTCTTGATTCATGCTCAGCTTGCTGTCGAGTAGGATCCCCATCCACTTGACGGTGTGTATCTCCTTGGTATCTTTGTCTAGCTTCAGCCGCGCTGTTTTGCTGTTATTCTGTAGCATCCCGTAGTCGGCTGCAGTCTGCGCATTGGTGTCTAGTACTGTCTGAACGTGGGCGTCATCATCGAGTATCACCGCCTTATCGTCGGCATACATTATGACTTCGTAGGGTACCATATGCATCCTACGCCGGCATTTCGTCTCTCTTTCGGCTTCTACTAGGTTAAACAACATAGCGCTGAGCGTGCATCCTTGTCTGATGCCGTTTGTCAGCGGAAAGGGTGTTGCATATCGTTTGGCCCATTGTATCAGTACCTCAGCGTCTATGTATTGGTCACGTATCAGGTTGTACTCCTTGCTGGGTATGTTAGTAGCTCTTAGCGCGTTAAACAATGCCTTATGGTCTACCATATCGAAGGCCTTCGATAGGTCCAGTAAAAGTAGTGTCTGTCCTGGCCGGTTAAACTTAGCGAAAAGTTCGGTCACTGCAGAGGCAGGTCCCCTCCCCTTTCGGTAAGCGTGTTGTTGCGTTAGTAGGTGCGGTTCGATGTATGGTGTGATGTGCTGCAGTATGATTTGGTTGACGATTTTCATGATAGTCGACGGTATGGTTATGGGTCTGGTATTCTCCACAGTGGTTCGTGGTAGTAGTTTTGGAATTGGCTTCACTTTCATGTCCACTAGCTGCCGTGGCAGTTTAGAGTTCTTCCATACTAGGTGGATAAATTGTTCGAGGTCGTCTATTGGTATGTGGTGGACATGCTTGGCAGGTATTCCGTCTAGCCCAGTGGCGGCTTTCTTGTTGATTGCCTTAATGGCTGAGATGATCTCCGTCGTATGGGGAGGTTGGTCAAGGTAGATTCTTGCTTCTTTTCTTGGCGGTATGTGCGCAGCATCAGCTTTGCTCCATCTGTGATATAGCATTTGTCGTAGTTGCTTCCTAGCTTGCTCCGGCTCCAGGTCGTCGCCTTTAGTATCTATCAGTGTCAATCCTTGGTTACCTATCTGTTTCTTGTAGAGCTCCCAGAGTCGTTGGTTTGCATTCTGTGATTTTGGTGCTTGCTGAGACCATTTGCGGAAGTGGGTCTTGAGTTGCTCTCTAAGCTTATTCCAGGCTTGAGTAGTTGGTTCGTTGTAAGCTTGGTTGCCAATATGTCTAGCCGCGTGTATACTTTTAGGCCTTCCCTGGTCGTAGCCGATTGCGTATATGTTCCATTTGTAGATCAGTATTGCGTGATCAGCAGGTGCATTCTCCCAGTCAAGTAGTACCGAGTCTGTGGATTTAGTGGTAGTGTTAGTTAGTATCCGATCCAGGGTCCGGGTGGGCTTCTGATCTTTCGATCGCTTGGATATCCAAGTGGGTGTGGTTGGCAATATATTGAGGCTGTGTAGGGTTGCGAGTGACCGAAGTCTTGTATAGTTCGGTATGCCTTTGATCGTCCTAGACTCAGTCGGTTCGTGCCCTGCATTAAGGTCACCTGCGATAAGTAATGGATGGTCTTTTGGTATTAGTTTAGCTAGGTTCTCCCAGTATTGCAATTTGATTTTGTCTGCGGTCTGTTCCGTCGGCGCGTAGGTTCCAATACAGGTAACCAGGTTGTCTAGTTCCAAGGAGATAGTACGTGTGGTTTTGTTGGTGATGTGGTATTGCACGTCCTGCCTTACCATGACAGCCACTCCATCGGCCGGTCCGGAGGTTCCTATCACAGTATATTGACCATTGTATATCGTGCGGTGCAGATTAGTACAGGTTTCAGAGAGTATCACTATGTGCGGTCTAATACCCAGGATAGTGTTCCTCAGTTGTAGCTCCTTTTTATCGTTATAGCCATCGACATTGATGGCCATGACTTGGTAGTGTTTCGGTCTGGCTCTGTCTCTCAGTAGCGGGGAGTCTTTACCGGTTAGATGGGTAAGAAAGGGTTGCTCGCATCGGAGGTAGTCGTTGGTGGCGAGACGGCTGTGTTGAGCTTGTGGTAGAGCATCGTCTTGTTGAGGTCGTCCGGTTGCAGGTCTATCAGCCTCCTGATGGTCTGCTCTAAGTAGTGTCTGGCTGTCCAGTGTCTTTCGTACTGGAGGTCCTGTAGTCTTATGTTGATTGCTGTGGTCAGCGCCGCCTGAGATAGGGGTCCTGGTTGTCCGTCCCTTCTCTTCGTCGGATCTAGTAGTTGGGCGTCTCTGTTCATGGCCTGCGTCAGGGCTCTCATCTTGGGCAGCTCTTCGGTCTTGATTAGTATCTCTACCGAGGTCCTCCACGGGAACCAGATGGCCACGGGGTGTATTCCGTGCTTCTTCAGTAGATTCCTCCATTCTCTCGCCGGGAACATCTGACGTGGTTTGACTTTGTTTAGGGTAACCGCTGTCACCTCGACGGTTTGTGGTGGTTTTGGTTCCCATAAAGCTTTCATGTCTTGGTCGTCTAGGGTAATGCTGGGTGTGGTGGTCTCCTCCGGTAGTGGTGGGTGCTCGTTGATCACTACCTGGTCTTTTCTTCTCCCCACTCTCATTGGTGGGTTCGTGGTCCCCGCTACCTTGTTCCAGGGCAGCGGGGTTCTGGAGTTTAAAGTTGGTCGGCTCTTAGTGGATGTGGTACGCCCTCGTCTGGTAGTAGTGGCTTCCGATGTGTCTCCGTCTGGACTGTGGGAGGAGTCAGTAGTTCGTGGTCGGCTGGTAGTCGCTTTAGTGGTTGGCTTCGTGGTTTCGCGGTGAGGTGGGTAGCGCTGGGTTGCAGCAAGTAGTTTGTTCGAGATCTCGTTCATCATCTTGGTGATCTGCTCTGTCTGCTTGTTGTGGTGTTCCTTAGCTAGAGTCGCCATACCTGTGTAGGCCTCAACCATATCGTTCAACATGGCCTTGTTAGTAGCCCTCTCAGTTTCCCTGCGTTTCCTCTCGGCCCTTACGTCTTGTCTCAGTCTCGCGATTTCTTCCTTTAAATCGTACACCACCACTGCTAGTTCTCCGATCGTTGGCGGTGTTATCTGTGTGATTCTGCGCTTGCGTTCTGGTCTCGCGTCTGGTACAGTGGGTGGGAGGTATTCTGTTCCATCGCCGTCGGTGGAATGGTAGTCTTCTTCGGTCCTCATAGCGTCTTGCTCTGTCGGGGGCTGATTGGCCTTCTGCCTGACCGGTTCAGATCGGTGGTCAGGAGGGTCATTTGTGTGCTTGCCATCACTGGCTGAGTTGTTAAAAGTTTTGGTGCTTCTAGCAATCGAGACTTGCTTGCTATACTCCCGTATGGCCGGGGCAGGCGTTTATGGTGGTAAAAAGTTGTTTCCTATCTTTGAGCAGTTGGTCGATCTTGATCTTGTTGCTCATAGTGTCGGAGGCGGTGTAGGGATAGTTCTGGGTTGGACAGAAGCTCGTTGCAAAAGCTGCACGTATCAGGGTCTGTCTCTTTCTCGGTCTTCGGGCAGAAGTGTCTAGTGTATGCGCTTGATCCTGAGAAGTTCCTATGGCATCCTGCACACCATGTAGGATTGCCCTTAATGGGTGTTATCCTGTGGTGTGTGCCGCTATCGTGCCTTCTCTTAGCCTGTGTTGTAGTGAATTTGATGTTGCATTCGGTGCACATCGTGAGTCTTTCTTTGACAGCGTGTAGTGTGCGTTCTCTGACATTCATATTCGGTGGGGGTGTAGTATCCTCCTCCGATGAAATGTGTTGCTCCATGCTTCTAACACCATCGTAGTCGTG